TGAGTGGGGGTTGGGGGGTCGTGATTGGGCAGGAAGAGCCAGAGCCACTCTGGGCTCGTCCCTTCTACAGGTCTCTATGGACCACTACAGAATGCTAAAGAGTCCAAGCTCTAGGTTTATCTCTGTTGCCATTTGAAAATGCACTCATGAGAGAAAGGTGGGAGGGGGCACCGGGTTAGGAGCCCGGAGACCTAGGTTCCAATACCGGCTGGACCACTAAGCAACTGCCATACCTTGCGCAAGTCCACTCCCATCTCTGGGCCTTAGTTTCTCCATCTTTGAAACTGGAGAAGGGATGCAATCCCTTCTCCCTGTGGAAGCCTCTTAAACTTTTCCCTTCACCCTCCAGGCTTTGCTCAGAACCTCCGTGGAAGAGGAAAAATGAACTCCCAGCGAAAGTGCAAGACCCAAGAGTGGGCAAGGGTTGGGTACCGAAGTGAAGGAAGAAAAGAGGGATCCTTTTGCAAAGCACTTTGTCCAAGGGCTTTGTGTGTTCTTCTGCAGACAACCCAGAGGGCTCAGGAGGGCAGGAGCACATACTCCTCCGGCCAGGAGTAATTTGGGATTCTGCCCTTCTTATACACAATCCACTCCCAACCCCTGCCTAGGCACTTCAATTGCAACCTAGGGTCTGAGGGAGGCCTTCAAACCAACTCAGAGTCAAGCTAGCTGACGGGAACTGTGCCATGGTCCCATTGCGCCCAGACTGCTTAAGCCAGGATGGGGGGAGGGAAAAGAAGGACCAGGGACACCTGTCCCTGAGCTCCAAGCTCCACTGAGAGGGTGGAGGTGGGGCAGGAGGGAGGCCATGGCCTGTTTGACAGAGAACCTGCCCGTGCTGGAAGCTTGGGGACTCTTAAGCAGTGACCCTTCTCTGGGAGCCCACCCATTTCCACCACACCACAAGAGGGTAGGTACTGATCTCCCCCAGACCAGCTCCCCTAATCGCAGTCCCCTGCTTCCCTCCTCTTCCCCTCTATATTTATCTGCCCTCCGCCTCGCCAGGTGCTGGCGCTGGCGCTGGCACTGGCTGCGGTGCAGCCCGCCCCACCCAGGAATGGAGCCACGGAGCTTGCTGGGGACCCCTGATCAGGGGGATGGGAACCTGACCCCAGGCCACAGTACACACAGTCTTGTCTCTGGTGGGTAAGGGCATGATGAGGGAGGGCTCCTCGAGGTCTTACACGCCAATGGTGCCTCAGAGTCTCCCAGGGGAGATTTGATTAAAACAAAACAAAAAAAAGCCAGCAGTCAAGCGACCCTCACCATTCCCTCGGGATTCCCAGGAGCCTCACCAGAGAAGGCAGAGAGTTCTGTCCTAAGTGGCAGGGTATGAAGTCCTCAAAGGGCCATCGTCCCCAGCTTTTTCTTTGTGGGGTTCCCGATGCAGACCCCAATTCCAGGATGCCTTTTGCCCCTCGCCCAGGTTCCCGCGGTAAGAACTCCCGCATCTGGCCCCAGCGCTCAAGAACTGTGAGCAGAACGAACCCAGGCGTTCGAGCCGCTCAGCCGGCCTCGCCACATTCTTTGGCTCTGGCGGAGGCGGAAGGAGACGGGATGGGACGCGCGCCCGGCAGGGAAGGGAGAGGCAGGGCCAGGTCGGGCCACGCGTGACGCCTCCTCTGCCTCAGGGCCCCCAGCAGGTGGACAGCGCCCTGAGTGCGGCGCGAGGCCCACAGGCACATCCCGTGTAGGGCTGCTTGCCCCTGGAGCTCCCAGAGCTCTGGCCTCCAGACAAGAATCTCCCCCACATTTCCAGTTGGCCAAAAGGACGGCGTTTGGCTCGAGTATGGAGCCGGATCAGGCGTGACGACCGGTTGTAGTGAGAAGGATTGAACACGGTTCTAAATCCCTCCAGACTTACCCTCCCGCCGCCTGCTGGACTTGGGGTCCGTAGCTCAAAGGTCTCGTCGTCGTCGTCGTCGTCCCCGTCCCCGCTAAGCTCGCCGTCCCCGTAGTCCCGGTGCAGAAGAGTGAAGCCTCGACGGCAGCAGAGGAGCCACCACAATCCCCCGGGGAGAGGCATCCGGGCGAGCAGTCAGGGAATGGGGGCGCGGGCAGCGTCGCCCGAGCAGCGGGGAGATCGGAGAAACTGGAGGTGCTCGGATCCGAACCGGGTACAGATGAGGCGCGAAGAGAGAAGGGGTCCGGGAGGAGGGTGTCCAGCGTTGGGGTGCAAGAGAACGCTTGTCCGAGCCTGCGGGGGGCTCAATGTCTGGGCCCCGGCCGAGGGAGGGAGAAAGCGTCCAGAGCCGGGGGAAGGGAGTAGGGAGCAATGTCCGGAGCTGGGAAGTAGTGTCCGTTGTAGTGTCCAGCCCTGTGGAGGGCAGTGTCCGGTACAGTGTCCGTGGTAGGCAGTTGTCCAAGCTCCAGGGAGGGTCGTGTCCGGTAGGGCGTCCGGTGGCCGGGGCCCGGGCGGCGCGCGCTGCGCTCC